GCCTGATAATTTGATTTGAAATAGAATCATTCTATGAACTTTTAAATAAGTCTTTTGGGACTAATTTATGATTTGATGGTGATTTGATCTTCTAATTAAAGAAGCATCAGATAGTACGGTACAATAACAAATAAAATTGATTCAAAAAAATGAATTTCGAAAAGAAACGAAACATAAATATAATGAAATTTAATAAAAATATGTACAATCTTTGGGAGATGATTCATAATGATTAACAAAGAAACATGCATGAAAAAACAGAAGATGAAAATGGAAAAATAGTAAAAAAACGAATATTTGGGAACTGTTTATCAAATTTTGCGTTGCGAAATGATTGTTACTCATTCTTTTGTTCCTATCAATTGTGTAGATTTATGCATTAAAACATCCCAGGATTTTGACTCAATTTCTTCTATATATAAAATCACAAAAAAGGCAAACTTACTGGAACAGTAAGGAATTGAACTCTTCACGTTTGTTTCAAAACTTATCGTACAAGAGTTTCATCGCTTTTATATTTTCCGTTTGAATCACCTGATTTTTTTCAATAATTGCAAAAAACCGTCATTTTGATTTCAAATAACATTCCGAATTTCCTGAATTTTCTCGAATAATCAGTGAAAGAGTTATATCAACAAATTTCAAAATGCATCTTCCGATGTATTACGATTTTTTCAGACTTCCTGGTTATTCCTGTTATATGTTTCCCTAATAAGGTCGGAATGATATGTTTGATGTTTGATTATCTGTTTTACACCGCAATTTGTAATCTTTAAAGACACTTCCAAAATTTGAACATCCAGAATACTGTGTACCTCTTCCAACAAAGAATGTTCTTGTCAATTCCTGTAAAAACTAGCAAACAGCTTGATTTCAGCTTTAGCCAAAACTATTATCCAAAAATAGAACAATTCGTTGGTTGCTGACAAATTATCAAATTGCGTTAAGAACAGCATGATAACTTGAGGCAATCAAACATCTAAAATGTTATTATGCTGAAATAATTGTGGAGAAAATATTTTCGGTAGACTTATTCTATTACATAGAAAATTGAAAAAAAAAAACATTTGATACTATTTTCAAGTTCTACAATAATAGGTCTATTAACGAGAAATTCTCGGAATTAATATTGACAGACAATTCATCACTTTGTACTCCAATTAATTAAAACCCATCATAATAAATAAATTACGTTAGAAATAGAAGTGCAAACCAAAAATAGAATCCACTACGCATTTTTTATTCCCGTGAAATTATTGGTATTGTAGATTCCAGTCGCTCACTAATTTCAGGTTTTCACTTTTTCGGATTTTTTTCATTTTCTTGAGACGTCAGAGTTAATTGGTATGAAAGCATAGTTCTCTTTGAATATTTTATTTTTTGAAGAGAAAATCAAACGAGGTTACGATAATTGATATTCCTAAAGGAACTTCTCGTTGATATATTGTTGTTTTAGTGAAGCATGTACCTAGTCAAATATCCCAATTTTAGTTTTCATCGGAAAGAACAAAAAGATATGTTGTTTTTCTAAACCCACATCATTTGTACATGTATACTCATTAAGACGGCCAAAATATAATTTTAAGCTGCCCGTTGTTATTCGCAAAGCTCTCATTTTCACCTGCTTTTACCTATTACCTTTATCCAAATTAGTATATACCTGCACCACTTCTCCCCCCCCCCTTTTTTTCTCATTTCTTATTTATACTAATCTCTTTTTCTTTTTCTCCATTCTCAAACAATTACCGGATTTATTCATTCCGAACAAAACAAATTTGTGCATATATATTACATATTTATTTATATACATATTGGAAAAACGAGAAAAATTAGATTAATTGAAGAAAGCCGTGAATAGATTTGAAAAAACCAAGATCAAAAGGAGTAGAGTAAAAAGCATAAAAAGTTGGATTTTTGAAAGTTTTTTCTTGAAATAACTATGGTATTCAACAAGTAGAAGTCCCCACCAAAAAGATTTCTGATCATGAGAAGGTGGAATAGGATTTCTGACAAGTGCGGGCTTGGTGGGGGCCTGTACGATTCACGCAAATATTGTTTAAAAAAAGCTTTGAGATTGGAGCTGGCTAAAATCGAACACATAAAACCATAGAAATGTTGAGCATGAAGAGATGTGTACCGGAGCTGTTACATTGGACTAACTCTGGCTAGAAAACAACGTGGTTAACAGATTCACAAGGAAGATATTCCAAACCAAGACGAATCAAGTATATCAAGTATCGAAAAAATAAAAAAAAGGCAAAAAGTTTTCTGCAGGAAGTGGGATTCGAACCCACGCACCCATACGAGTACCAGAACACCCAGTGTACCTCGAACTCACGAGGCAAGCGAATTGCACGCTTGAGTCTGGCGCCTTAGACCGCTCGGCCATCCCTGCATGCGATAACTTCTCTTTTATTCCCGTTTTATGTTTGCTGTTTCCCGTTCTTTTTGTATTACTTACTTACGAATCGAAAAGAGAAAAAAAGAGAGACACAGTGACTTGACCTTTTCGGCTTACCATGTAATTCTCTCTGTTTTCAAGATTTGTTCTTCAAATATACAATTAGCTATTCAGCTATCAATTTCCATTTTCGCCATTTTCTTATGCTATATGTAGTAGTCAATTATTTTGTCAAGACATTTTCACACGGTAAAAGTCATGAGACAATACAATAAAAGAGCAAAAAATATAATTGTGAGAATTGTGGTGTTCTCGTTCCCCTCTTGATATTGAAATTGTCTCGTATTGTTGCTAATTTTGCCAATGCAGATAATTGATGTTCTCTTTCGTTTCTCAGAAAAAGGAATTCGTATTCGGTTTGTTTGGTTTTGGTTGCACTTTCAGTTTTCTCATGTTTTTTGTTAGACATTATTTTAAATGTCATTCTGTGACGTTAATGTGATAATCATCACTTGAAACCTCCCTGAATGAGTAATGTTTGATGTTAGAAACATATCTGGAATCTACTTGAAGTAACACATTTGGTGTTTTGAAAAAAAACCATAAGAAATTAATTGATTAGTCACACGTAAAATAAGTTTATAAACGTTGTGCCAGAATACGATGTTTGGGAGATACAGGCAAAAATCAATGAATAAAGATTCAAAAACTCTGCAGTGGTTGTCTGTAATTCCTTCAATTCCAACTGGTTATATAGAAAACCGAGTTGTGATGTTCATTACGGTTGGTTTTCTGAGCATTCTAGTACCATAGTGTGAATCTTAAAAGCTTTTCACATTAAACGAGCCCCACCAACTAATAAAAGTCCCCATTATCTACTATTGAAAATAGGGTTTTGAATGGATTTGTAGAGTCTTGATAGAGTGTATTTGTATGAAAAAGCTAATGGGTTTTCTCGTGGTTAAAAAGAGAAAAAGAAAATGCTATAGTGGGTTTTAATTGAGATGATTCACTTACGTAATTCCTTATGATCCAGATTTCGAATTAGAAAACTTTAAACCTATTCTTCCGGTTGAAGTCTAACTAAACTTGGTTCGGATTTTTTTAGGATAATCCAGAATGTAACTTTAGTTTTCAGTTGTGGAGTTTACGATCAAACATATAATTTCAAAAAAGATCCAGTTGATCACTATGCCATTTTTAAATTTGTTTTTCATTGAATATTATTCTAGTTTTGTATGTTGCTCGTTTTGAAAGCTCTGTTAAAACAAAAAATGTTTGAAAGAACAATAAGTCTTGAGTTTCTGATCGATTTTTCCCATTAGGATTGATTCTTTTGAGATGTTCAGGTTTAAGCCATATTCAAATATGTCTTTCACAATCTCTTTTCTTTTTTTCTAAATAATTGATTTTTCTTAACTATCCAAGTAATGGCGTTGAAACCCAAGAAAGAGGGAGGAGCCTAAGTCGACGGACTACAAAATTGCACATCACGTGCATTAGCCTTATATCCCTTCATGGGGCGGAGTTTAGGTCTCAATATAAAACCAAATCTGACAGATCAGAATGTCGTTTCAAATTGCTCATCTCAATATGCTTCATCGCTTCTCAAGCAGAACTTTAAAAAAAAAACTTGATCTCAAAACTACGCCAAATGATCACCAGAAAAATTCGATAACCATTTGATAAATCAGTTTTACTAAATTCTCAAATAATACAGAATTATAAACATCAATCATAAAATTAATTTTTCTCATTTTATTCCTGGTAGACGAGAAAAATTAGAAATCAAGTGATGTGCTCTAAAAAAGGCAATTATTTTCATTTTTCCTCACGCGATTTGTTCAACTGATATGAATTCAATTATTTTCAAGAGGAAATTTGATTTATTTGTTATTATTAATATTAGTTTTTCATTTATTTATTTTCGTTAAATGGAAAAAAAAACAAAAACGTTTTTTCTCACTAATTTGCTTTGTTTATACTTTCTTGCAACGTTCTATTCATAATGAATCTCATATGATGTATAGTATATAGAATTTTGATGTTGACTAACTCTTTCTATAAATCTTATTATATAAGCTAATATCATAGTAGTATAACTCAACTCATTTACTTCTCTATTCACTAGTCCGTTTCTTTGACAACCGGTACCTGCCTGAAAAAAAGAAAAAAAGTTACTCGCAGCTGAAAAAAAATCTCCGACTTGATTATTCAACAAATACTTTTTCTTTTTTCATCAAACCCTTTCCTATTTTGCCTGATATCATTTGGTTTTATCTATCCCCTTCTCTCTCAAAAATATAATATATCTGAAAATTAGTGAAATCCCATGAGACATATTTTCGGTTTATTCTACCTACCAATTTATATTGTGAGCATGAGTGAAAAATTAGATAGCAAGTAAGAGACAGAGAAAAGGACACACATACACCTCTTATAGTGATACATAATAATTAAAGCGGTTTCTATATTACTACTACTTGTTTTTATCATTATAAGAGTTTGTGTGCGTGTGTAAGTGTGTGCTGAGTGAGTATTTCAATATCATTCTTCTCTATATCATCCGAGAACCAGCCCGTTTCTAATATTCTGAAAAATGAATGCATTCACCTATAACTTCGCTTCAAATAATCGCGAGCAAATTTACATGGTCGAAACTCATCGCGCAAGAACCTTTTTCCCTGAAATTGTCAATGTAAGTATTAGTTTTTGTACTTCATATGTTCTTTTTTGTTGATTGGCCTCATTTTTAGAAATAGTATTTTCTCGTATTCATAAAAATGTTCTTTTGGATTTTCAGCGTACTTCAATCCCAGAAGAAATGGACAACGTCAAGGCTACCACTGAACAACTCCGTGTTGAGGCTCAAATCGTTCGCAAGAAGGTTTCCGAAGTCTCCAAGGAGTAAGTTGGAAGAACAATTTTTCAGGATCTTGAAAGATAATAATTCCAATTTTCAGCTTGATGGAATACTGTGAGAAGAACAAGGCTGGAGACATGCTTGTTTCGGGACCAACTGATCAACACAATCCATTCCAAGAAAAGAAGAGCTGCAGCATGCTCTAAATATTCATCTTAAAAAATTGTGGCCGCCCTTCCCTTTCAGTAGTTTTCCTCCCTTTAAAAAAATCTGTCGTTTTTTTCTTGCAATTTAGAAATTCTTTCACATATCAATAATTATTTAATAGGCCACAATATAATTGGTTTATGGTTTTTGTAGCACTGGACTTTGCCATCTTGTCCAAGTTTTTTTTCCTGTTTCATTGATCTCGTCAATGCTTCTATTTCCCCAATTTCATTTTGATTTATCTTAACTTTTTTACAATAAACCATATATCCAAAGTATCTTGTTCTTGAAATCATACGTGAGAAAACGAAAATATTAATCGAAATCATCACGAACTGGAAAAATTCATGTTACTCATATAGGATGACAATTAGATCTTGTGATAATTACCAAGTACATCTCCATGGTGATTCCAATAACATATGACTAATAAATATCCAAGAGAGCAAAATGAATAACAAAATATGTATCTTTGTTGTTAAGTTGAAAAAAAAAGTGAAAAAAAACTACGGTAATCCGCGAGAAATATTACATATTTGTTCGTATTTGTAGTTCTCGAAAATTCTCAGATATTGTATGAACTACGGTAACTATACGATACAAAAAAACATGATTCCATAGAGATATTACTAATACGATTTGCGAACAGAATTTCCGAGATTATTTTATGAGAAAAACGATAGTTTGACGATAGACTGTTTGATACTTTTTGTAGAAGTTCGGAGATTTGTCGGGCAGCTGAATTTTCGAAGTTTATTAAAAATTCTACAGTACCTATTCTAAATTGAAAATTAGAAATATTTTCACCTGGCTTTTTTTTTCAATACACATTCTGGAATTTACACTTTTAGTATTTGGATGAATGATTCGGGTTCAAACATACCTATTTTTGTAATCGAGTTCAGTTGTGATGTATCAGGCTAAAATTTTCCTTAACTATTTTCATTTTTCAATTTTCTCAACAACAAAACAAACAGTTTCTAAATATATCAATTTCATTTCAAACTTCAAAATAAAACCGGAATTAAGTTCTCCGTTTAATTTTTTGCAGAAGTAATAAAACCAGTTGGAATGTGCACTATGTATATATTTGATTTTTGTTTTCCATGAAACTGATAAAATTTTTAGTACTCTTACAAGTTGCTGAACAAAGAAACAATTCAGCTGTCATTTAGAAAACCAAAGATTTTGATAAAACTTTTTTATGGAAAAAATATATATTATTTTACAACTGTAATATTAGGAGGCGACAATTAATTCACTACAATTTGAACTTATTCAATAAGAGAACAAGAAAACTCAAGTAAAAGATAAAATATGGCATAGATTTTTGTTTTTTTACAAAACCGGGGAAAATATGAGAGAAGACTGGGTTATTCAAATCGTTTTGCTACATCAAAGCAAAACGATAGAACAAAACCAGATTGATTATACAATATTAAAAGAAGAAAACAAAGTGTCGAGATTTTTTGAAATGGACCCATCATCGAGAAAAATGCTTAAATAAAGAAATTCATTTCGAAATTTCAAATTTCACGCATCCATCCTTCTCGTTCAATTCGGCCATACTGAAAAAGTCAAATGGTTTTAAATAATAATCATTTGTTGAATGAAACTCACTTGAATGTTGTTGATTGTGTCATAGAATTTTTGCATAATTCCATATTTGCTGCTCATTGTTGGAATCATCAAATCTTCATATTCATCAGTAGCTTTATTATGGTAGAGAATTTTTCCAACTGGCGAAACAACACAAGCAGTTCCAGATCCAAACATTTCGAACAATCGGTTTTCTGAGATTGCTTTTTTAACTTCGTGCATGTTCAATGTTCTTTCAGTGACTTTATATTCTCCCCATTCTCTAGCCAATTCCAACAAAGAGTCACGTGTGACTCCTGGAAGAATTAAACCACGATGAAGTGGTGGAGTGATGAGTTCAAGTTCTCCTTGCTCATTTTTCCAGAAAAGGAAGATATTCATGGTTCCGACTTCGGTCAAATCCTCATTTTCTCCATACAACCACAATACTTGTTGACAATTCTTGCTAGCAGCTTCTTTTCCAACCCAAATTGTTGGCGCGTAATTGCATCCCATTTTGTATGCTCCAACTCCTCCTGGGAACGCACGAATGAAACGAGAATCAGCAAGAAGTGAAACTGGTTGGAATCCAGTGGAATAATATGCTCCGACTGGTCCAGTAATCACAAACATTTTAGCGGCCGATGGACATCCAACTCCAAGGGTTGGCTGAAAAAATATTCATGTTTTTCTCTGATTTTCTCATTTTTCTACTGTATTTCTTACATCAGTTCCGATCAATGTTGGTCTCATATACAATGAACAAACATCGGAATTTGGCACCCATTCAGAATCGAGTCTCAACATCTCTGACAAGATTTGAATCATCTCCTCCCCATCGAAATTCTGAAAGAAAAACAAAAACTAATTAGCTGTAAGAGATTCTCCCAAGAGACCAAGTTAATTGACTTTCTGTTCTTTTTTTTCGACGTATTTTTTGTCTTTCTTGAGAAAAAAATTAGATTAGACTAGATTAGTTTTCACTCGTCACGAGACCGTAAAACTCGAAAGACGAAAAACGAATAATAAAAACAAGAAAAAAACAACTCACTGGAAGAGCAGCACGAAGAGCAGTTCTTTTCATTCTCATCATATTCATATCTGGTCGGAACATGCGGATTTTGTTGTCAACTCCACGATAGGCTTTCATTCCTTCGAAAAGCTCACTGGCGTAGTGCAAAACCTGAAACACAGATATTTTTTCTCATTGAATTTTGATATCTTTTTTTGACAAAAGGTCAACATATGTTGGCAACACTTGGAGACCTTGCATCATCTTTGAAGATCATGATGATTTAGCTACTTTTTTTTCCTTTTTTCATCACTGATTGACAGATAAGAGTTTTTCGGAGAAAAAGTCGACGAAAAAAAAAAGTTTGGAACTTTTGATAAGAAATCGTAGAAGTTGACAGAATCGTATGATGTATTTTTGGCGCTGAGGCCGGTCATGGAACAATTTTTTTTGTTTCGTCAACTTTCATTGATAACATCAATAAGTGTACAGCATCAAAAGATGATTTCGTATATGATAGACATTTTTGGAATGTTTTTTTGTTGGTTTTCTGATAAGAAATATTGAAAAGACATCAGAAACTGTTCTCCGGGAATCAGATGTGAATTTTGAAGAAATTTGAAAGGCATATTGAATATTTCAAAGCTTTCTTTGCTCAAGGATTCATTGAAACAAAAACCTCATTGGTCATTTTTTCTTATCAAAAAAATATAGATAAATTTCTCTTTTATTTCCGTAATTTTTTGCTCTTCCTTACCTTGGCTCCTGGGTGAATTTTCAATTCAGCAATTGGCTCAATTTTTGGTGCATGCCATCCTTTGTCTTGATCCCAATCGCAAGTCATCATATAATCAGCATAAGTATGTCCAAATTTGAGCTTGGTTGGATCAGTTGGTTTTGGATGAAGTTGAGATGGTGAAGCAAGTTGGATTTCCAAATCTTTGTGCTAAAAGAAAGTTTCAGAATGCATTGAGATATCTTGAAGAAGGATTTAACTCACATAAAAAGTCTTTTTTGGGTCATATTCTTTTTCTGGTACAGCAGCTGGTTGCATACTGGCAGCAGTCGCCATCATTCTTGGTGAAGCAATAACAAGGCGTTGGGCCATTCTTGACAATAATGCAGGCATGTTTTAAAGTGTGTGTATTTTTCTGAAAAAAAAACTCTAAATAAAAAAAGATTACAGATAAAAATAAAGAAGAGCAAAAGATGAGGCCACGTGAGGGAGCAATGCGAACAAAATGAAGGGAGGTCATGGGCGGGCTATCATCTTTTCCCTTCTTCTTCTTCTTCTTCTCCCAATTGACGCCGCGCCCCTAAGACCCGCTTTTATTGTTCCTCTCTTCTCGTCCAACAAAAAGCTCCGCCCCACATTTTTTGCCGAGCTCTATAGGTTTCTCATACACACGTGTCTTTGTGTGCACAAGTTTGAGATAATCATTTTTTGAGAAGTAACACAACATATGACAGTAGTTAGTCGCGATGTGATCAAACGACGTCATGATAAGAAGCGGAAACAAGGGATAATAGTGATGAGAAGAAAAAACAACAAGAAAATGTTTATATTTGGATAAAAAATGGAACAGCAAGATTTATAATAGTCATTGATAGTCATATGATTTTATGGATAAAAATGGGATAGAACTGATTTGTGAAAAAGGTCAAGAATTATCTCAAGACATTGTAGATTCTTTGGACAACAGAAAAACTAAAATGATGTATAATTGTAAGTAGTTTTTATCAGCCTCAAAGCGTCATTTGTTTGTTTGATTTATCACGATCGAATGGTCAGAAAAACAACTCAACTCTGACCATCATTTTACAATAAAAAATATAAATCTATTTTTTGCCGATGGCTCCACGAGCAAACAATTGCTTTGAAGATGAGAAAGCTCAGAAACCAACTTTTCTCTTTTTTTTTCTTCGTTTTTTCTCCAAGTGAGATCAAACCACCAAAGCAAGTAAAATGACAGTTTCAAACAGAAAAAAAAAATAAATAGATGAAGCAGCAACTGTTTGTGGTCTGTGGTGCAAGTTGAAATTCATTTATTTTGTTTCTTACATTTTGGATTTTTGGATTTAAATGGGAAAGAAGGAAAATGGGAGGAGTAGATCGAATCTACAGTCAGACTGATGTAATATTTGACAAAAACACGATAATTGAATTTCGCAAATAGACAAAAAGAGGAGCTGGACTGAGAAAAAGGCGGGACATTTTCAAATGGACTATTATTTTTTGAAAACGAAAGATTGCATCACCTAATATTTTCAAAATTGATGCAACACAAAATCCTCGTCCTTTTAATTTTTGTCGAGGAAAAAAAGAAGATACCATGAACTTTTGAACAGACATGTGGGCAAGGGAAAGTTAGGTTTTGTTGTAAACCTAAATATGGTCTCTTATCATTTCAGGTAGTCTCTGACATGAGATATTTCCTATATTTAGAAAGAAAAGATATTTCAGAGGAACTATATTACTTTCAGAGACAATGGAAATTGAATTCATAAACTGCCGGATATGAAAAAGATTGCGTGCTGCAAAATTGAATTTTCATCTTGTCTACCAGAAAAAAACAATCCAATAAAATATTGATATGAAATTCTTCCGTTCTCTATTTCTAATTGAAAAAAAATCGTATAGCGTTCGAAGAGAGCAAAAACTGATGAAACAAAAAACAACACATGATAGATATACTGGTGTTGATGAATTTCCGCACTAATACTTTTTTTCGAAACATTTAATAGTGTGACGAACTGTAGTGATGAAAAATTAACAAATAAATGATAAGAAGACACGAGAATCATTGACATCAGCTGGAGTGAATGGTCAAAACAATCAAAATTTTCACACGAGTAGGTAGTAAAACAACGTGACTGTTGGCAGAAAAAATGATGTGATTCGCGATCAAAAAAACTAAAATAGTTTGGGGAATATATGATTCATTGTTTCTCTTTTTTTCAAAGTTATGAAGAAAAACCAATAAGCTCAAAAATAATATATGTTTGCACAATAGTACTACAAACTCCAAAGACCTTCGCTATCATTATTTTACAGAAACCTCGGGGGTTGATCAGAGAACGCACAAAACAATATATTTTGTAACGGCTGTTTCTTCCAAAACCTCGTAAAACGATAAAAGTTCATTTTGAAAGAAAGAAAAAATATATATATTTATTGAAAAATGTCCAGTTTTTTGAAGGGAAATCAAAAATCTCTAATTAAATCAAATCAAATCAAAATAAGGATATAGAAAAATCATGTTTCGACCGATCAACATACACACGAATAATAAATAATGACAAATGAGTATGTGAATATTTTTGCACCCATGAGACAATGGATTGTGACGTATACAACGAATGGGTGCAAATGGATTTTTTGACAGTTTTTGGCAAGTTTTGACAATGAGGTGACAAAATCTCAAATGATCCAAACTTATTTTTATCGTGTACTCCACCTTTAAATTAATCTTTTCTTAACTTTGAAATGATATATAAGAAGAATGTTTTCTTTCTTCACTGTCAATACCAATTTCAGATTTTTAAAAACCCCGAAACTCTGTTCCAAATTTATAAATCCTACTTTTCCCAACAACCCCAAAGTTTACATCTGCAAACTTTTGAGTTATGTGCAAAATCACATGAAATCCTGGTTTATCTAATAGCTATAACTTTTTGTCCAAAAACGAGTCAGGTGTTATAAAGATCAGTGGTATGATATTTTTAAACATGTGGCTAAACATTGAAAAGCACAAAATGATCTTTTCAAAAGATTATTTTTTGAACAAAATCAAAATTTGAGAGGAACAAAAACTACAGTCAACTCAGTCACTTGCAAAAAAAAAGAAAGAAAACATCTCAAAAAATGGAAAGTCAACAGTGTTCTATTTGTTAAACTGAATAAGTCTCTTTCCTTCTCAAAAAACTAAAGTCACGTGGTCGGAAGTCACAATCGTTTATTTATCAATGTGTAGTTTTTTCGTTGTTGTCTCAACAGTTCAAACGATCAAAAAAATTTCTGAGCTTATCACTCATCTATCATCTGCAAAGTTGTTTGATTATTTGGTCAATAATCGGGCCCACGTGACTTTTGTTTTTCTTTCTCTTTTTTCTATTTTTCGTTTGCCGTTCTATTTTTCATCACACGCAAATATTTAACTGATCTTCACTCTAATCTTGTTCGGATCAACATCAGCTGATGATAATTATCATCATATTATTATGGGAAAAATTATCATATTTTCTATATATGATTAATTGTTAAGGCATTATCAATTCCTCTTTTGTCGACGTCATTTATATACCCCACGTGGTAAAAATTATACACACAAATAGAGACAGTCGATGAAAATGTGTGTGTTGTGTTTATCATTGTTGTTTGAATTTATGTATCTATGAATGTAAAATCGGCCGATAAACTGGCGTGTATTGCGAAATAATAAGGAAATTGTTGCGGGGGAGAAATTGATAAAATCAAATGTTGATACGAAACATGTTCAGCTTCTTCTTCACTCATCGTTAAAAAAGATCAGGGGTTGAAAAGCAAAATTTAGTGTTGAAAAACGGTGATGTATGATGTGGTAGAGGTGGATCTTATTGGTTGATTTATGTGATATCACTATTTTTTGCAAAAAAATGAAAATGACAGCAATTGATCAAAAGACTGAAATAATGATCAAAAGTAAATGTGATAAAGTTAAATTTACACCAACTGTGAATCAGCTGAAATACAGAGAACAAAAAATAGAAAATCTAACATTAAGAACATTCTCAACTTCCGAGGGTCTGATGAAGTTATTTGAGGTTGGAAAACAATAGAAAGTTTTTATCAACTACCTCAGCGTGTGGGAGTTTTTGAATTGGAGCCGAGGAATTAGGATAGGTTCAATTAATCTACGATTTGGAGTATGTTTAAATTGGACCGATATGTTTGCTATTCAAATAGAAAAACGGAGCAATCCGAACTAATCTTGTTAGAGAATTATCATTCAATATCAATCAATATCTGCGAGATCTTGTTCGCTCTTTTAAAACCCCAGTTTTCAAACTCACTTATCACTTCTAGCCAATTAGAAGAATATGTTCTAAAACTGAAAAACTCGGATGCAACCCGCTCTTTATAAACTCTTTTTTTTTGTTTTTCAGAAAGTGCATTACTGCAGAAGTACAGACTCATTTACAATCTTTGAACAAATGCTGGATAACTTGAGACAACATCTTGAAGAGGTCAGAAATATTAATCAAAACACCGACAAAGGTTTCAGGCTAAAAATAATTGATGTTCCCATTTTTTTGAATTGTAAACATCTGTCTACACAATTAATTATGATTTTTTCTCAAATTTTACCGATCACTGATCTGATGTAATTTATAATTAATTGAAGGTTATTTCAAGAAATCCATATCTATCAAAAATCTTTCTGCTGACAATTGCTAAAGATAACTTATCCAACGTATTATTGTAAACAACACAAAAATACAGCCAGCAACTTGTATTATTGTTCCATCGGTTGATTTTCTATGACTAAAAATATTCAGGTTTTGATCATCCCACTGTTTTTTTGTATTTTCTCACACACACGTGTCTTGAAAAACATAAAGGACACAATTGATAAAAGAAGACGTTGAAATTAGTCGATTCAACAAGGAAAAACATATTTATTTGATTTCAATAAATTAATTTGGTAAATGCAAAAAGGTACCCTATCAAAACAAATATTTAAGAGCTCAGCAAAATGACTTGGAAAATGAATTATAATACGGATAAAACAAAATATTAACAATCACAGAAATAATATTTGTTTCGACGAAAATATTGCATCAGATAAAATGATGAAATTGATGTTATCAGAATGTCGAAAACAAAATAAATAAAATGTGAATATTTGAACCAAAGTATTCGGGACCCATTTTTAAAGACATAAAATTTAATTTATCTAAATAGGTGAAAATCTATAATTCTGATGCATCGTGTTCGGGTGATTTCTCTTCTGTTGTTGTTGTTTCTTCTGGTGCTTCTGTTGTTGTCTGAAAATGTGTTATGTTAATAAAATAATTATGTTAAATAATAGTTACCTCTTCAGTTTTCTCTTCTGTTTTTTTCTCCTTCTTTTCAGATTTTGATTTCTTCTGCTTCGCTGGTACCTTGATCTTGTTCACAAGATATCTGACTTCTCTTTCCAAATCACGAGCTTTTTCAACAATATCAGCAGTTTTCACAACCACATCTTCATTCTTTGCTTGTTTATCGTACAATTCTTTCTTCTCGGTCCACCAATCAGTTGTTGTTCCAATAAGTTTTGTGAGAACCTGAAAAAATTAAATAAACTTAAACACAAAACAAGCAGTAAAATCATACATCAAGTTCAGTGTCAGTGAAAGTCTTATTTCCCTCTTCATGTTGTGTCAAATTGAGAGCCATTGCGTGGAAAGTCATTGATCGATTAAAAGCATCATCCAAATATTCGATAGCTTTTGGAATATCAAGACGTTCTTGTTTTCTTTGATTCGGTTTAGCTGTCAATTGTTCCAATTTTGTTCGTCGTTCATCGAATTCTTCCTTTTTGGTTTCAAGTGAAACATCATCTTCAAACCAAGCTTTCAAAACAGTAACTTCATCGAGAATCAATTTTTTCTCTTCTTCGGTGACAAATTCAGCATACTCTTCTCCATCTTCTAATTTCACTGCCAAATCGTACAACAATCCTTCCAACAAATTCATTGCTTCTTCTCGATCATGTTTTTCCTTCTCTTTGCGTTCAAATTCTCCGAGACTGAAAATTGTAATATTAACTATGATCTTATTAATTATTGTGATCTCTACCAAATGTTTACAAATTCAAACTCACACTTCAATTGATTTCTTGACTTCTTCCTCTGACATATCTTGATGATCCTTCTTTGTTTCAACAACATTCAATTTGGCATTAATCTTCTTGACTTTTGGCTCAACTGGTTTGATTTTCTTCACTGGTTTCTCTTTTAGTTCTTCTACTGGTTTGTCAGTTGTAGTTTCAGCATCACCATCAGATTCCTCTTTCTTCTCCTCTTTCTTAGCCGCTTCTTTCTTTGCCTTCTCTGCCTTTTTCAATTCCTCATTCGCTTTTTCCCATTCTTCATATTCAACCTTCAATTTCTCGTAAGTTTCCTTTTCTGAAAAAAAACTGTTATACATAATTTTCTTAAACTAAAAATAAAATTAATTACCTTCAGTAGATGGAGTTTTTTCAACAACTAAACTAGCTTTTTCGACTGAAACAATTCCAGAAAGATCAATTGAGAAAGTTGTTTTGACACCTTTGACAACTGCATTCTCATCAGTGACTTCTTTTTCAGTTGCTTCTTTCAATCCACTAATTTGAACTGTTGAAAGTGGATTTTTATCAGCATCTTGTACTTGGATTTCAAAATCATCGGTGTAAGAGTTGAATTGCATAACACGGTTTGGAACTGGGTAAGTTTCTCCAAACAATGATCTTCTAATTGGTTTTAATTCGCCGTCTTCGGTTTTTGTTTGGAAGTTGACCTGAAAATTAATTAATTGATTATTATTTACCAGATATTTAAAACACTTACAAAAACAGGGTACAAAATCTTTTCATGAACATGGAACGGCAACACCTTGAAGGACTTTGAAAGATGTGCAGCTTGATAGACGGCTCCCATTGCAATTGCTTCATCGGTATTCAAGAAATTACTGATCTCCTTATCTTTTAGTTGACTTTTCAATACTTCTTTAACTTTTGGAACTCTTGTACCAGCACCCATCAAAACAACAAGATCAATATCACTTAATGACAAAGTTGACATTGCCAATGCATCTAAAATCGGTGCCAAGATTCTTGGTTCCAAATCAACAATCAATGCTTCAAGTTCATCTCTGGTGACTTTGACTCGGAAGTTTTGTTCTTCGAATAAACTCTCAACTTGTGCAAATGTATCTTTGTTCGCCGACAAAACTTGTTTAACCCGTTCAGCTTCTTTGTGCAGTTTTCCAATTGCTCTAGCATTAGTTGAAATATCTTTTGTTGTTGATACAGTATCACGGAATTTCTGAAATAAAACAAGGTTTGTTGGAAGGATGAAAAATGTGGAAAAAAAACTTACAGTTTGAAGATGATCTCTCAATCTTTTAGTAATTTCTAAACCTCCCAAAGTTTTGTCATAACCAACTCCAACAGTTCTCAATGTTGGTTGTTTGTCTTTTCCATCCTTGCGAGTAGATTCGAGAACATATTGAACAATTGTAGCGGTTGTCTGAAAAAAAACCATGTTTTCAGTAAAGGAAGGAGAGGGCTGAACTAATTTTTCAAATATAAAATGCGGAATTTGAATAATTTATCGTTTTTTATGATCAGAAAACTAGAATTAAGATTCTATAGAACTTCTGATCAATTTTATATTTTAATTTTTTGTTCAAGTGTTGAAATCTTTCAACAAAGAATCATTATAAAATAAAGATGCACTCTGTGAATTTCACAATACGCTATTTATTGAGAACTTTATACAAATAGAATTTTCGAAATTTTCTTAAATCTCACCTTGACAGCTCCCATATCATAAATCAGCATATGAGTTGGCTTTTCCGTGATCTCCTTCCGTCTAAAAACTCCATAATTCAAAGCAGCCGCACTTCCATCATTCAACAATTGCAATAAATTCAAACCAGCAATATTTGCAGCAGTTGCAATTGCTCGTCTTTCAGCTTGATTCAAAAATATTGGCACAGTAATCACAACATCTTTCACAACTTGATCAGCGTATGCTTCGGTGTTCTTTTTAGCATTCCAGAGAATCATTGCAAGAAGTGTTTCAACGTTGTATTTTTCTTCTCTGAAAATTCATCAATTCTATGTATATGCTTAAATTTTTTCGAAAATAATATTCTTACTTGTATGGGAATATCACGGTATGTTTATTTTGATCATATTCAAAAGCTGTGAATGGGAAAGTCTCGTGATAACTTGTGAAAACTTCATGTCCTTCTTTTTTGGCGAGCAAAGACAAAAGGAAAGAATAAGAAGATTGTGGATGAGATGATGCCTGAAATTAAATTATTTTCAAAGTATGTTTGGAAAGAAAAAACTGACCATAGCTGCAGCAGCTTCAGCGAAAAACCGTTCATCATTTTTGAAAGCAATAACATTTGGTGTTTTTCTACGAGATTCTTTGTTGAGCACAATATCCATAGGAACTCCTGGTTTTACAATACCAATTTTAATAAATTGACTACCCAAATCAATTGACATCGCCGCAAGTGCACCATCTAAAAAAGTTCTCATTTTTTATTTTCCAATTTTTCTTTAAAAATTATCAAATACCTGCAGAACCAGTAAAATATACAAGTAGAGCTACAAGGCTCAATATCCCAATGTTTCGTACCATCTGAAAAAAATATTAGTTCACTAAAATATTTTTTGAATAAAAAATAATCAAGAAAACCTTGAATTAAACGTGTACAAAACAACGCTTACGTAGCCTTGCAAAGTAAATATACAACAAGGAAAGGGACGCGTGTCGAGACCAGTTTGCAATAGAGCGTGTTTGCCGGTTTGTCGGAGAATTGAAAAGGAGAAATGTTGTTTTTCCGTTTATTTTTTGATAGTTGATGAAAATAAAAATATGAAGACTATGAATAATCTTTCAAACATTCTGAACTGGTCTTGGAGAATTTTGTGGAGTTGGAGTACGCTGGAAAAAGTTTAATTTCTGAAAAAAAAATTTTAAATTAGAATTTAATGAACTTTTTTGTTTAAAACTTTAGGTGGTTCCATCATAGCATTTTTCACTATAATCCAAGATGAGTTTGAAATATGACTTACACTACTATCTCTTGATGATGTTGTGGTTGTTGAACAATAAGTCGCCTCAGACTCCGTTGAAGTTACCGATGACATTGTATCCTGACGATGAATTGCAGGTTGTGGTCCAGGTCTTGGATATTCTGTTGGATCATCATCAATACTTGAACCGCTTGGTGAACGACGTCGAACATTCACAGGAGCCAATGCACCGCTATTTGACATTGATCTAGTGATTCTTGGACTTCCCAAATCTTCGTCCGCTTTTCTCTGAAAATATGTGTTTATAGAAACAACTGCAAAATCTATATCAAAAGCACATGAAAATGTGAAAAAAACTAACCTTACGCCCATTCATTGCACCAAATACGCCGCGAAAAGTAATATAATAGTGGATGCGAGAAAAAAACGATGGTTTGAAAAAATCTTTTCCTTGCGCGCAAGACACACTTTTCTGTATTGCACAGCAAACAGCATGTTTGACGACAATTTTCTTTTTTTTTGGAAAAAAGTGGGTGAAAACCGAAATTTTTGTTTCTTTCTTTCAACATTGTTTTGTTGTATGTACCAAGCCATTAAAAGACAAAAATAAAAAAAAAACCAAAAAAAACTTTCCTTGAAGTTTGTTTCATATGCCGCTCACCAACAAGGGAACCTTTTCAACTTTCCCTCTAGCTTTTAATGAAAAACATGTTTTATAGTAGTTTTCCACCCGCTGATCACGATTCCGCAGTCAAATTCTGCGTACCTCAACTTCTAACATGAGTTATGACGTGGCAAAAATCAGAAATTTTGAAAAATCGCAACTTTGAGTTAATTGCAAAAATTGCAATTAACTTCCCCGAACTTTCCCCGCATTTTCTTATCTTTTTGTGATCCCCATCATTAGCGCATAGCCGTAATTTTCTGCAATTTCTAGCGAAATTTTCTCACATTCAAATTCAGTTTCCATACAGTTGTCGCAGAGTTTCTCAAAAGTATTGCAGATTTGCGCCAACGTGTTTGCAAATATAATGATAATTTCACCAAGTTGATTCCCTGTTTTCAGCTGTCGTTATTTCACTGACAAATCGAAAGTACTGAAAATAGAAATAATCAAAAGTTCTATCAAATTGACAGTTTTCTGTTTATTCCTGATTTTTTATTGAATACCATTTTATGAGTTCTAGAATATTAATGACTACTTTGCTTCTGTGCTTGTTGGAATGTTCAAAAACACTAACTCAATACTTTTTTTCCTATACAATTTCTATATGGTTAAAGTTTCCTGCATTCTTATTGTACCTAGGAATCTTTTTGTGTTTTATACATATTTTTTCTTTTTAAACGCAATCCTTGTATCAAATAATTCAGAGAAAGTTATTTTTTCTTTTTTTTCTAACCAATTCAACTAGAAAATTATCAATATTTTTCTTCGACACAGTGCGTTGTCTTTCTTTCTCTATACCCTCTATCACTATTCTATCTCTCCTCTTTTCCTATTGGCAAAAATCAATACGCATCGTTTCCCCCTCCTCCGGTTTTTTTTATTTGGTTTTTTTCTCGGTTTTTATTGTTTCGCTCTTGAATATAATGAACTTGTGTTGTTATAATTTTATTTTTATGCGTCTCGAGTATTTTGTTTCTCAAAATTAATTTAAAAAAAACTTCAAATCATATTTTAACTACAATTACTTTTCAGCATGATTTGTTGGGTCGAAGAAATGTGGTATGACGCAGATGAGGTCGACAAAATGTAATATGACGCAGATGAGGCGGCTAAGCGCGAGCATTTGGCTCACATTTAAGAGCGAACGTGGACGATCGTGAGTTTTTTTTCGGGATGATTAAAGATATTTCTTTTTTATATGTAAAATTTTTAACAAATAGATTTCTAGATGATTAAAAATAACGCAAAATGTAGTGTTAATAGGTATTTCAAAAGAGAAATGAACACCAATTTCTAAATAAAAAACGTTGATGCGGTTATTCAACGTCTTTTCTTAACGCTGATATGGTTGAGAAAAGTTATTCAGATAGGCTGGGAAAACGGTTGAGAAAATGATTTTCTCAGCATTTTTCCCCGGCATTTTTCCCATGGAGACACTAACTTGATTTCAGACATGTCCGACGTAGAAACGTGCGATAGTAGGGCCGAACTCGTGGAACTGGGTCTATTATGACAGACAGCTTGGGAAAACGAGAGAGGGTGATGGAATGGGGCTGCGGCATTTCAAGAAACCCTCCGAACCGACAGAGAGAAGGGCGTTCGAAACACCGTTGAAGGTAATTTTTTATCATTAGATATAGAAGAATTTTTTTACTCAACCCTTGAAACTTTAAATCATATTTTAACTACAATTAGTTTTCAGCATGATTTGTATTGAAGTCAAAGAAATGTAATATGGCGCAGATGAGGCGGCTAAGCGCGAGCATTTGGCTCACGTTTTGGAGCAAAGGAACGCTCGTGAGTTTTTCTTTTTGGATGATTAAAGAGATTTCTTTTTGATATGTAAAATTTTTAACAAATAGATTTCTAGATGATTAAAAATAACGCAAAAATGTAGTGTTAATAGGTATTTCAAAAGAGAAATGAACACCAATTTCTAAATAAAAAACGGTATTGCGGTTATTCAACGGTTGAGAAAATGATTTTCTCAGCATTTTTCCCCACTATTTTTCCCATGGAGACACTTACTTGATTTCAGACATGTCCGACGTAGAAACGTGCGATAGGAGGGCGGAACTCATGGAAACTGGGCCTATAATGACAGACAGCTTAGGGTTTCTTGGAATGTGGCTGCGGCCGGCATTTCAAGAAACCCTTCGAACCGACTTCAGTTTGCAGCATTGAAGGTAATTTTTTATCATTAGTTATAGAAGACTTTTTTACTCAACCCTTGAAAAAATATATATCTCTAATCATTTTGAATGCTTCAAGTTCAAGATTTAAAAAAATGGAAGGAAGAAACATTTTGCCGATTTCTTACTTTTGTCTATTCTATTTCTAAGATTACTTCTACCGAACCAGAAAATTTGATTTTTCGAGTTTCATTAAAATATTTGAAAAATCAGAATTTCTAATCTGCATAAGCCACAAAATTGGTGTCAGCTTGATCAAAAACACAGAAATTATATTTGATGATTTCAGTCATTTTATAGTTCCACAAAACATTTTGCACTCTTAAATTCTATATTTTCTGGAAAAAACAAGTTCTTTTTTCAAAGGCTCTTTGTGTTCTCAAATTGTTTTTTCTCTAAGAAAAACAATTATCATTTATCACATTCACTCAATGATTGTTTTTTTTTCAGAATTCGCACGGACACGCCCGAGAGCGGAATGCTCTCTCTTATGGGAGCGATATTGCACGCAATATCAGTAAGTTCATTTTTTTTGAAATTCAAATGTATAAGAGAGAGTAATAAAACAGCTTTCAGAACACGAGTATTGTGCCCTGGCACCCGTGTGCAATTGCCACCACTGCTAACACCAACACCGCTGCCGCCTTTTCCTCGACCTTCCCGTCCACCCTTAACTTATTTTTAAATGATTTGATTTAATAAATTTATGTGTGTGAAACGTGTTGTTCATTTCAAATCAGAAGCAATTATGCTTTCGGACTTCCTAGACAGAAAATTGTCTTGTTTACATCTTGAAATCAAAAGAGTAGTCGATTTTTTCAAAATTCACATTCCCACCGAGTTTGATCAATTCCTCGAAGTTTTTCCAAAAATCGTCTTTTTAAAAATAAAAATTGTCACTTCTTGTACCTACATAGAAATCTATTTGATGAAATTGATAATATTTCTTTTTTTTCAACTTTTTGATTGCTCTTTTTAAATTATACTATTTTTTGTTAATCTGGAAGATGTTCCATATAAATATTTATTATACACGACTAGATTATTTCAATTTAGTATAAACAACTCTCGTATGTTCCAAATATCCAACTTTTGGATGTGTGGCAGTTCTCATTTCAATAACTTGTTCCATATATCTATCGTCATGTCTAATAAATGTTCGGCGCAACTGAAAAGTGAATATTTTCATGAATCTGTTTAAAAATTCAACCCACATCTTCAACGGGTAAATCTCTTGAGAACGAAATTCTTCCAATATCTTTCAATGTAAGAACCAGTTTGTTTGGTGAAACAGTTCCGACTTCATATGTTGTGAATCCTGTATTTTCAAATTATTTTATTTGTGTGATTTTTATGATAGTATAATATAACAAACCATTGTTTCCAGTTGTCATCAAAGTAGCGTTTCCAGTTGGATCAACTGTCAAAAATCCCCATTCGTCATGGAAATGATCTTTTGTTGAATGAGACCAGGCGCGAGCTCTGTAAAAAACCGAAAATGTTTTTAATAGTTTTCAAAATTTTCACTTTTCAACAAAAATTATATCTTTTGTTTTCAAAACTTTCACTTGATCAAGGTCACTTACGAGAAATTCAAGAATTGTACATTGGCTGATTTTGCAATTGGCGCCTCATTGATAACCAATTCCTCTCCGAAAGTCATTGTTGGCACAGTTGGCCAGAAAATCTTTCCCGAGAATTCGGATCTCCATTTTCCAACAATCCATTCAAGTTTTTGATTGTTCTCGGTCAACACCTACAAAAAAAAAACAATTTTGAATTTGAACCTAATTTGAAAAAAAAATGAAAAAAATTGCTCTGATCTCGGGCGGGCTCGAACCGCCGGCCTTCTGTGTGTTAGACAGATGTGATAACCACTACACCACGAGATCGCTGGAGGAACAAGGTCGAATGGCAAATAAATAGTGGGCGCCGGAGGACGCGAGAGAAAAAGAAGAAAAGGAGTTAGCAGTGTATTTCGAAAAAATGAAGAAAGAGCAAAAGAATGAGAGGCGCAGAGAAAAACATTTGAAAAGTTGAGGCTTGAACTCAGCGCGGGAGAGATGAAAAATTGAGAAATTTTGATGGAAAATTTCTTTGTCATTTGGTAAAAATCAATTTCCCAATTAATTAATGAGTGAAGTATAGGTTTTGAAAATGTTCTGAAAAAATTTGTTTTCTATTTTCGTAAGCATAATTCTAAACACCAGGGTCTTATCACAAGTTCCGCTTTCATTTCGTATTTCGAAAAATTGAGAAATTACTAGAAATTGATGTTGTCGGAATAACAAAAGAGACCAGAAAAAGTGGTTCTAAAGACTACTTACCACATAATTCTGAATGAAATGACAAGGATTCAAATTCCTGGTTTTCATCTAATTTCACAAAAATGGCTATGACATTTTTCAAAATAAGCTTCAGAATCATCTATGAAAGTTCAGTTTTTTTGGGTATGTTTGCAAACCAGGAAGTTGATAAAAACATACCAGTTGAGTTTGAATTCTCATATTTATAATAATATCGAGTCTGTTATGAATATTTCAATCTAAAATGTGGAAATGAGATATATTTTCAAAACCATTTCAGGATAAAAAACATTTCAAAATCCATTCATTCTTAACTTTAAAAAATGCATTCTTTTTCCCCGATCCATCAATTATTTAAAATTTCAAAAAAGTGAACATACCTGTTGTGTTTCCGGAATAAAAGCAATAGCTACCAGGAACAGGTAGCAAAAAGACATATTTCGAAAAATGAGAATCACACAAGCCACTGTCTTCTTCTCCTTCTACTTCTTCTTCTTCTTCTTTCTATTCTTTTCCAATTTCCATTCGCGATCGCCTCTTCTTTTTTCTATTTCTCCCGTCCTCTTCTCTTCTATACCGGTTTCAACATTCTTATTCTCTCTCAATCTTCCATACTATTTGATTTTTTAACCGTTTCTCATTGTCTGAAACACTCTTTCTCTCTCTCTCTTTATTCTATCTCGTTTTATACACATTCATACGAATATATTTTTGTTATTCCTCAAAGCTTTTTGTTCTTATTTCTTTTTTCGCATATCATCAATTTATGACAGTTTTTGGAATAGTGTTCTGAATGATGATAATCAGAAAAAGAGGAAGGATATTATTATAATGAAAAATATAGGAGAGAAGATAGAAACAGTTTCAGTTGCTTTACACTTTTGACAGGAAAAAAAAAGAAAAACATGAAAGGAAGTGGATTTTTCAGATATAGAGTTTTCTTTCAAGGCTATTTGTAGATTTATGATCTTCTGTCATGTTCCCGGTGACAGATTACAGTCGAATATGCGAACTTTATAATTGCAGGATTGAATGGGATATAAATTATGATCAAAATTGTTTGTTGAAAAATATATAATTTTTTAAAAAATATGACTCGTAAAATCAAAGGGAAACATAGAATGAATAAATTGTCCTAACAAAAAAAAACAAGTTTCGGAAGAGAATACAGTAATGGTTCTGAATTAAAACTCAAATCAATATCATTATTTGGCCCAGTTATTAGAAAAAAAAACAAAATTTATTAACAACGCGAACAACAGAAAATTGATCATAGGAAAAAATAAGTACATGATAAGCAAATATTAAAACAATGACAAAAAATACCGGTCACACAAAAATAAATAGTACAAATTGAATTTACAAAATTAAAAAATATACATAAATGTGCAAAAATATTACATCATCAATTCACTCATAATACGAGTTTTAACAAGCTCGATGCAAGTCCGCGCATCTTCTTCAGAATCATGTCCGATATTTGAAGAATTGTCGTTTTGAATTGATTTTCCGAGATGTTTCTGTGCCAAACTTCGGAGTGATGGTTTATGTTTTCCAGTTTGGAAAAGAATCGCAGTATCGATAACATTCATATGAACAATTCTCAACGCTTTCAAGTCGGATTCAAGAGAGTGGCCAATAAGAATTGATTCGGCATTGATAAATTCAAACATTTTCTGGCGACACTGAAAAAATAAAGTTTAAAAAAATGATTACAAAAATTTAGAAAAGGATTTTCGAATGAAACTCACCTTTTCTAAAGTTCCTTTTGCTTCATTAACTTGCTCGATAGTCAATCCCGAGAATTCTGTATTTGCATCAATGACTTCAGTTGGCGGTTTGACAATCATATCCAAAACCAGATCCCCATTAAAATTCACCATTGACATTCTGGCAGCAGGACCAGACTTTGTGTATACCATTTCACAATCAATTGCATAAACTCCTTTTGATCTAGGATCGTTATTTCCTCGTTCGAGTGGTGTTGGTAAAAAATTGCTGAGTTCCGATGAATATTGGTGATCGAATACATGGCAGAGAGTTGCTCGACATCCATTTGATTCATTTTGAAGCTCTCCACAACAGCTATGAATTGTTATTCCGATTTCTATAAAAATTGTTATTTTTTTATTAATTTAATTCTTGATGGAACCAAAAATTCAAAAAAAAAGCTGACCAGGATCAAATCGAAGTGCCCTTGGGTGATATTGACAGTGAGAAATAGATTTTGTTCCATTTTCGTTGTTGTCAAAATCCAATTCACATCTGCAACATGTTCGCATTTGATCTTCTATCTCAATCCAATTTTTCTTCATAATATTATATTGTGTTGGTTGAATTGTTGCTTCAATTTTTCTACCTTCAAAATATGGATATCCTGATTTGATTAGGTCTTCTGTTTTGGATCTCAATTTATTTTTGAGCACAAACAGTATTCCTTGTTCACTGATAAGTGGAACATCGTTGTGTTCTTGGTTATAATCGTCTGAAAAACAATACTATTGTCAAATGTCTGAAGTGTTTATTTTTCACAATAAAATACAAAAAGTTGATATCCTGATAAAAAACTCACAGTTTGAAGTCGGATTGGAGTAATACACGGTTCCTTTATATTCAACTGGTGAAGTTGAAGAAGCACGTGAAAGATCGCTAATCGATCCAGATGAAATTGGAGATGTTGATCTTCTAGCATTCTCATCATTATTCCCTTGATAATAATATTCGCAATGATCTGGTTGAGGTTGATAGTAATGAACATTATCATTAAAATAGGCTGGTTGTTGTTGAAAAACTGGCACAAAAACAGGAGCACATGGTTGATATCCATACACATATTCAACTTGAGCTTGAACCAAAATGGGGGTCACAGACCATAACAATGGCTGGGTTGAATCAATTGGAACTTGCACATATTGGTGATACATAATCTGAGAAATTAAAAATATAAAAGAATGAAAATTATGATAATAAACGTGAATACAAAAATAAATACCTTTGTAAATGAGCTCTCTCCATATCAGCTAACACCTTATACATATATCCGCCCATTTTTCACACCTTTGTGCTTCCCATGATAACTTTTCACACCTTACCAAGCCGGGAAGCGTGCCATGTGCGAAATTGGTGAAGCGGTTGATAAAAAAGAACAACACCTGTTGAAATATGATTATGGGAAGTATTTTTGGGAATATTTGTTTCTTTGTGCTTGCTTTTTTGAGTTGGAGATTGATGATTTAATTCCCACAGTTATTAAAGTTATGATTAAATTTTTGTTGTTAAACTGAAATTTATAAGCAAAATATGATTTCTTATAAAATTGGTTAGGCTCATGCATGAAATTCAAAACAGGAGTCTTTGTTTTTTTTAATTCTATAGATAAACATTTATTTTTTTATGATTTTTTCTGCCTATATCCCGCGTTCAATATTTCTTTTTTTTTTCAAAAAATCCAATTTCCGCAGTTAATATTATTCCCATGTTCTATTAACATTTTTGTCCGAGTCATGTTTCAATTATTTCCTATGAAATAACCATTTTGCGTGCACACATTTATTTTTGAAAATTTTTTTTGTTTTCAGGAAACAACAGTTTTTAATTAAAAAATTTTGAAATCGAGAATTTTTTGAGTTCATTTGTTTTTATTTTCGCAGTCAATTTGCTGACTAAGCAAGCATTTGATGATTTTCAATTAAAAAACGCTGAAAATTGATTGTTTTTTTTCATTTTTTTCTCGATTAAAATAAAGTTCATGAAAAATTCACCTGCTTGAAAAAAAATTATTTGGTTTTTGCCATCGTTAATTTTTATACCCTATTATTTTGCATTCAACAAGTTTCTTAAATCAATAATTTTTGTTTTTGAGAATGAAATGCGATGAATCGGAGCCTCTGCTGGAAATGTGTCAAAATATCAACAACAGTTCAGGTAAATTTATTGTTAAAAGATTATGTGAAAATATGAATCATTTTTAGAAACTTTTTGTTACCACTATAATTCCTTTTTATGTTTGTAGATATGCTAACTATCAACACAAAAAGCCCTTCAACCCTGAAAACAAACGAAAATTTGGATTTTTTGAAACTATCAAAAGATTTGCAAACCAATAATTTCTCACAACTGATACAATTGAGAAAAAATATCAGAAGATTACAAACATATTATTTATTCAATGTCAAAGGAAGAATTCATACCTTGCAAAACAACTTGCGTGAACTTTATTTTGATTATATACAAGGTGTACTCACTTTCTAAAAAAACAGTGTTTGTGTCATAATTAAAGAATAAACAATTTCTTGAACAGAACTTTTTTTGTGATAACAAAGTATAATTTCAGGTTGCGTTCAATCGAAAAAATTTTTAGGTTGCATTCAATTTTTGCTGTAGTATTCAACAAATGATAAGTTAGTTTCGGAATTGCAAGTTACTGAAAAATTAAGGTTATCAGGGAAATGTTTTTTTTTCAGGATCTCAGAATCTGACAAATAATGTTAACCTGAAAGTATTGGATCTGAAATTTGCCGTTTAAAAAACTTATAACTACCTAGGTTCAGAAAAAAATGATTTGTGAAAATCTTCAACAATTTTTCAAAAAAATAGTTTTAATCTTTCAAATTCATAAATAAAAACAATATTGAAGAACACAACGCTTCAATGAGCAATTATTTCTGTTTCATAATTACGCAACCACCAAACTTATATTCATATACCACAAAATCAAAATGTTATAGTAAAACTGTGTATATACAATTGTCTTACACCAAAACACACCATTTTAGTTTTATAATAAAACAGCAACGACGTAACACACACATTTTTTGAAAGAGTGCGAGACAAGCAATTTTTATCAATAGGGCGCACTTCCATTTTCACTTTTATTTTCTTTTTTTTGTTATTCGAAAATGTTCCATTCGCATTTTTTTGTTGTTTTTTCATGAATTGGAATGAAACTTGTTGTTAAATTCATATTCACCTCTTTTCCTAGTACAAGTAACATAATTTTAATTTATTTTTGATACTCAGAGAAAACGGCGCAGGATTCTCGCAAAAAAAAACACGCATTTCTGCGGCAAAATATCAGCAGGCCTGACACTTCCCTCCCGCAAAATTGCGAAACTCTTGCGCAAATGCTGCCAGAAGTGAAAAAATGTCGGACTTTTTATTTATTTTTTTAAAAAAATATTCGTTAAGGTTGTCTAGATTAGACTTTTCAAAATTATTTTCTCTATCGATTTCCTATTATAAAAGAAATATTCGATGCAGAGTTTTCATAAAACGCTGTTAAAAACAGCAAGTTTTGAATTTGAGGAAAAATTCGAACGAGGTCATGAATCCGGGTGTCCGACATCTCGTCGGTTATGCGCTGCGCCATATCTCTCATTACTCTGACTCCGCCCACTCTTCTCTGAACAAAGGTAGTGCAGCAAGAGTTCCGCAAGCCTGCTGAATATGTGGCAAGAAATCAGCAGCAGTTCAGCAGCCTTGCGGCTCTCGCAAATTGCGAAGTTTCTGCGTCGTTTTCTCTGAGTAATTTTATACAAAAACTGATGCTAAAAAAGCTATTTCATGGGAAAATGTACTTTCTTGAATTTTTTCTCACTTTTGGTTTACTTTATATAAATTTTGCTAATTTCTACATTACAGGAAAATCGTCAGAGAAATGGTGGAAGGATCGGAACAATTAACGAGGAAAATTTTGGTCAAATGATTCTGCATTTCAAGGAAAACTGGAGGAAAGTGAGTTTTTCAACATTGTTTTTAAAAATTTTAAAAAGCAAAACTTGCTATTTTTTCCCCGAGACTTTATTAAGCGCTGGCAAGCGAGTTTGAGGTCACTACTTTATTAAACAACGCATGTTAGCCCTATTGACATATGTTTTTTTCTCTAACCGTCTCTCAAATATTTCGTCTTTGTCGTTGAGACGAAATATCCATATAATTTTCCGAACAGCGCTCTTGTTCTCAACGTTCAAATAGTTTCCTCTGTTACTTTGTTCCACATATTTCAATGTATTCATTCATTCTTCAAATAAAATAAAGGAAAAAGCCGCAAAAAATCAACCGCCTTCTGTTCCTTTATTTTATTGATCTGAAAAATCGGCTCTTCATTCATTCTATTCACATTCAGTGCAAAAAGAATGTATTTTAAGACAACGCGATTCTTTTAGAATGAACAGAACAGATGAACGAAGATATAAAAAACTGTGTGAAAGCGGGTGTATTTGTTGCCAGTTGTTGCGAAAATGAAATGAAAAATCGGAGATCAAAGAAAAGTATAAAAAACATAGAATTGTTGCTTCCCAGATGTCAAATTTTGAAACTAAAATGCTCGATTGGACGAGTTGTTCAAACTAACTATAAAAACCCCGGGTTCATTAACACTTTCTTTTCGAATGTTATATAGATCTTCTTGATGGTTTTTCAAAACTCTCATCTGGAGACTCGAGTTTGGAAGAGGATTATAATTTTTATTAAGGATTTACATTAGTTCAAAATCATGTAACATCAGTTTTTAAAGAATAAATAACATGAACTTTCGAGATCAAAAATTGCGATGTTCACTCACCCAATCTGATCCACTATTTTTCTACCAAAATTTCATATTAATATCTATCATCTCTTTTTTTCTCTCTACAATTTTGAAACAACCAGCCTTACACATTCACTCACACAAAAAAAATCATTGAATACATAGTAGTAGTAAAATGCATGATCCTCTTTTATTTTTCATGTTCCCGTTCCCGAGTTGTTTTTTTATCTTCAAAAATTCCCTTCATCTTTATTTCTGCTTTTCTTATTCTTTTTGCTCTTTACACATTTCATGTTGTATTACACTTGTGTGTGTTTTTCTATGCTTGTGTTTGTGTGAGCAGAAATAACTTAAAATCACACTTATGGTTTTATGAAATCATCTTTTTTTATTATCCTTATATTGAAATGGATACGTGTGTTTTCACCGTTTTTTGAAGGAGTTTGTGTGAGATTATTTTGCAAAATGATGTTGATTTTGTTGATTTCAAATGCTTTTGGGGTGGAACAGAAAAGTCGATGTGAGTTCATGCTTGCTTTCACAAGCTCTTTGATCTTGAAAGAGGAACAGGAAACAGAACACGTTCAGATAATGAAAGATTTGGAGAAAAATCTTGAGAATCAAAAAATCAAGTGTAATTTAGGGCGAATTCTAAACCACAGTTCTTTCTGAAACTATCTGAATTATTAATTGGAAAAATTCAGTATTTGCTGATGATTTTTTTACGGCTTCGGAATTTTTAGATTCCGAACAAATTTAAAAATTTCATGCTGAACTCTTATATTTAGAATATTATGGTATATTTTCGGATGATTTGGAAAACATCCAAATTACTCAAACCAAAAGATTAAGAAATAAATCGAAAATAATATCCTCATTCACTTATTCAAAAATGAAACTCATTATTTTCTAAATTCTTGTTTCCCACAAAAAATTATCCGCAAAATTGCTATCAATTCCAACATACTTCCTTTTTTCTCACTTTTTTCTGTTCATATCACATGAGAAGTTAACAGAGCATAAATTCATTTTGCATTTCATTTTAAGATTTGCCATCCAACTATTTTTTCAAGTTTTTGAAATTTTTCAAACGTTTTCAATCAATCAATCCTAAACATGTGGCTTCATTGCATCAATTTTTTATAATACGGTCAACATCATTTATTTGTGTGTGTGTGTGAGAGTGTGCCCATTTTTCTTGTCTGAAAATTGCTGGAAATTTTTTTTTCATTTTTTTGTTCACCTTTGGGATTTTCGATAACTATGATCGTAGCACATTTCCAAAGATACTGTATCTTTGTGTAACCTTAATTTTAATTAAAAATGGAACGTCAAGCCTCAAATGTTTTCTTATTACAACATACGGGGATACCGTGCTCAATTTTTTTCATCAATTTTTGTCTCATTCTTTTTATATTTACAAACCGCCTACACTTTGTTTCTCCTTTTTTTCCTATCTTTTTTCCATTGTTTTCCTACTCCTCTTCTTCTCTTACCTTGCCTTTTCTGTCACTTGTACACAAATATGGTATAATTGTATGTCTCTCTAACCGCCCTTATAGCTCAGTGGCAGAGCGTTGGTCTTGTAAACCAAAGGTCCGTAGTTCAATCCTGCGTGAGGGCAAAACTTTTTTCTCCTAGACATTTTTATATTATTTTTTATATGAAACACACATTGTCCGGAAAAGTAAAATATAATTAATTTCCGTTGCACTTTACTTTTATTTTTTTTCTAAATAGAACATTTTTGAATTCGAGTAAATGATCGAAAAGCAAATTAGAAGGTCACTACCACCCAGAAAAATACTATAGGACATTTGTACTATCAGTAAAAGGAAACAATTTTTTTCAAGAAAGAGAAAAAAAGATGAACAAGAAAAAAATGAAGAGAGAACGAGCTAAACAGATGAGCGATTGAGAAAATGATTAATTGATTACTGTTGTTTGATGATTTGTAAATGAGAAAAAACTACTCTCTCTGTATGTAACTATAGTCTAGTAAGATATATAGTATTTATATCTAATCTATTTGAGCGGAGCGTAGTGCATATTTTGATAAATCCTTGGTATGATCCTCTTCCATCAAAATGAGAGTAAGGTTTTAGAAATATAGAGAAAATCACAAAATCTTGGTTTTATCTATCCCATCTTTCGTCATACCTCCTTCTTTGACGAAAATAAAAATAAGTATTATCCGCTTAGGTGTATATATAGGGAGTAATCTATTTATTTTTGGGAATGTCTCAAAGTTTCTCCAAAAATGGAAAAACGAAAACACCTCGAAAAAACACATTTTTTTCAACACTTTTTTGTTGTCAGCTCTTATCAATGTGTTCCTTCTTCAATTCATTTGATACTTCATTTCTTGTTGTCGATTTTCTCACAAACAAACAAATAGTTTTTGTCATTATTTTCTCGATTTTTGTTTCTCATTTCGTCTCATTTTTCCCCACCCTCACAATATTCTGCACATTTTTTCTTGGTTTCATTTTTTCTTTCTATACAGTTTTGCATTTCTGAATTTTTTAAAAATTGTGACTTTTTTGCAAAACCAAAAAAAGCAACATGATTTTGAGAAAAAAAGACTGAAAAAAACATACGCACTCATAAAAAAGAACGGAGTGAAGCACGTCCAAATTGAATTGGAGGGACCCACTTATTTTGTTGTAAGTGGGATAAATATGTTCGCGCATGTTAGTAGTGGATGAGCGCACATTTACTGGCA